TATACAAATCACAGAATCACATGGAGGTGCAGCAAGCAGTTAAGGTGGTGAATTGTATGTTAGCCTTTAGTGCAAGAGAGTTAGATTCAAGGGTAAGGAAGTCTTGCTGTAATTATATACAGTTTTGATGAGACCACATCTGGAGTACTATATAGTTTTAGTTTCCTTACCCAAGAAAGGATGTACAAACCTTCACACAGGCTGTGCAACATACGTCCACTAAACTGATTCTTGGGATGAGGCTGACTCAAGAATTTTGAAGGAGAGAGGTCTCATTATGACATATTCAAGTTTCAGAAGGAATTTAACATAGTAGACACTGCAGGGATCTTTTTTATGGCCTAGGAGTCTGAACAACGTGGTCAGAATAAGTGATCAGCTATTTAGAAGTGATATGAGGGCAAAGAGTTTTAAATCTTTGAATTTCTCAACTCCAGGAAGCTTTGAATGCCCAAGTTGTTGCATACATATTCAAGACCAAGATTGATAAGAGTTTTGGATATTGGGGTAATAAAAGAAAGTGACAGTGTCATATGGAAAGATGTTGTTGCGATAGATCAATCATGATGTTATTTGTTATTATATTTCTTATTACATGCTCTATTTCGCTCCTGATTTAAAAATAGGATTCCTTGTTTGTAAACAGACTTATCAACTTATCCTAATATCTTTGAAAATTTGCACCCATGCACCTGATTTGCCTCTATTTCCAAACACCCTTTAAAAATGAACCGTTTAGCTTACATTGCTTTGCCTCATTGTTGCTACAATGTATACCACTTGACATTTCTTAACAAACATTTTCGTCTGCCTATGCCTACCCATTTCAACGGTTCCCCTAAAATCTGGTGCTAGATTGCCCTACTGTTTACTATATTCCCAAGTTTTGTACCATTTTGAACGTGAAATTATATTCATGACCAGGTCAAGAATTAATATCAAAAAGAGCAGCAGTCCAAATAACTGAAAATATGACCCGAAACGTCAGCTTTCCTGCTTCTCTGATGCTGCTTGGCCTGCTGTGTTCATCCAGCTCTACACCTTGTTATCTCACATTCACCACAACTCTTTTCTTGTAATAGTCTCAATGATAAGGGACAAAGCATTTGACAAACTAACAGGACTGATGGCAGAAAGTCACCAGATCCCGATGACCTGCATTCAAGGGTTTAAAGAAGTGGCAGCAGAGATAGTGGAGGCACTGATTAAAATATCCAGAACTTACTGGATTTCAGAGGGCTTCGGTCAGATTGGAAACCTGACAATGTGATGCTGCTGTTCAAGATGGGAGGAAGACAGACAGAAAGCAGGAAACTATAAGCCAGGTAGTCTAGCAATTTCCCAATAACAGATGTTAGAGTCCATTATTAAGAAAAGGAATAGTAGGCATTTAGAAAGGTTTAACACAATCAAACAGTCAACATCATTTTCTGAAAGGGAAATCACATTTGACAAATTTGCTCCGGTTTTTTGAGTATTTAACAAGCAGAGTTGATAAAGAGGAACCAGTAGACATAGCGTATTTCAATTTCCAGAAGGTATTCAATAAGATGCTATATAAAAGGTAACTACACAAAAGAGGAGCTCACCGTACTGTTTGAGCAATGTTTTGAGGATTGTTTAACACACAGAAGACAGAGTCAGGATCAATGGGTCATTTTCAGGTTGGAAATATATAACTAGTGGAGTGCTACGGTGATAATTCCGAAATTTTTTACTATCTATAGTAAATAAGTAGAGGGGAGAGCTAAGTGTACTGTATCCAAATTTGATGATACAAAATAGATGAGGAGGCACGTTGTGATAAGGATATAAGGAATCTGCAAAGGGATACAGATAGGTTCAGTGAGTGGGTAAAAACTTGGCAGCTGGAGTTTAATGTCAAGAAGTGTGAAGTGATGCATTTTGGTGGGAAAAACCGTAAGGCAAACTATTATTTATATGGAGAGAAACTCCAAAAAATAGTCCAGCACAGAGGAACCTGGGTGTTCTTGTGCACGAAACAAAAATGGTTGGCATAGAAGCGCAGCAAGTAATCAAGAGAGCATATGAAATTTTGGCTTTTAATGTCAGGAAGTTGGAGATTAAACACAGGGAAAGGTTTGGTACAGAGATAGTAGGAACTGCCAATGCTGGAGAACCTGAGATAACATGGTGTAGAGCTGGATGAACACAGCAGGCCAAGCAACATCAGTGGAGCAGGATTCTGAAATCCCCTTCCCCTCCCCCATTTCTGAAGAAGGGTCTCGACCCGAAACGTCAGCTCTACACCATGTTATCTAAGGCTTGGTACAATTGCATAGGATGTTGGCGAGGCCACAGCTGGAGTACTATGTATAAATTTGGTTCTGTATTTTTTTAAAAAGAATATACTGGTATTAGTAATCTTATCGAAACATACAGGATTCTGAAGGGGCTTCTTGAACTCAGGAACATAGTTACAGAATAACAGGATATTCATTTAAAACTGAAATATGAAGGAATTTCTTCTCCCAGAGGAAATGAATGTCTGGAATACCCTACCCCAGAAAGTTTTGGAGACAAGATCACTCGAAGTATTTAAAGAGGGGGTAGATTGCTTTATGAAATATCAGGGGTTTGAAGACAATGATCAGCTTGCACGAAAGAGAAGTTGAGATTTGGAGCGGATCAGCCATGACCTTGATGAATGGTCGGGCAGGCTTGTTTCTTATGTTGTTTCCAATGTTGCTCTTGTTTCCTATGTCCCTAGTGTCACTTAACAGCCTTTTCCAGGAGATCCTGCATATAATTTCTTTTCAGATAATAATTCAATTCTCCTTCAAATGTCTCAATTTAATATTTCTTCACCACGCTCTCATGCACTGCATTCCAGATTCTAACCATTCTCAGAAACAAAAGGTTTTTCTTCATGAGACAACAAGGTGCAGGGCTGGATGAACACAGCAGGCCAAGCAGCATCATAGGAGCAGAGAGGCTGACGTTTCGGGCCTAGACCCTTCATCAGAAAAGGGGCAGGGGAAGGGGGTTCTGAAATAAATAGGGAGAGAGTGGGAGGCGGATAGAAGATGGATAGAGGAGAGGATAGGTGGAGAGGAAACAAACAGGTCGAAGAGGCGGGGATGGGGCCAGTAAAGGTGAGTGTAGGTGGGGAGTTAGGGAGGGGATAGGTCAGTCCAGGGAGGATGAACAGGTCAAGGGGGCGGGATGAGGTTAGTCAGTAGGAGATGGGGGTGCGGCTTGAGGTGGGAGGAGGGGATAGGTTTTTCTTCATGTTGTCATTGCTTCTTTTACGACACAAAATTTATAACCTCTGGTTTTCGATCCTTCTACCACTGGGAAGAGTTTCACCCCATTCACTATTCAGACTCCTTAATGATTCTGAATACTTCAATCAAACATCCAACCTAGCTTCAGAAACTTTAACAACAGAACTGCAAATGCATTTATGACATAAAATATATGGATGATAAGTATAGTGTGTGCAGTCATTCAAATTCTAGCTGTTCTCTTGAAACTTTAAAACCTTTGGACTTTGAACCTTGTGCAGTAGCCAAGATCAATAGCCAGGAAAATATACATTTGGCGATACAATCTGCTAACGACTACACATGCTAATACATAGGCTAAGACAAGTGAACTCAAAGGGCAGAAATAACAGAAATAAAGAATTCAATGGATTACTACTTTAAAGGAGTAAAAATTTGAAAATAAAACAAAATGAAAAGATTCTCATACATTAAAGATAAAATCAGACATGAATTCCAAGGTTTACCTCCGAGACACACACAACTCAGGGAACATGCTAGCAAATAAACGACGAGACGCTATTGCATAAGTTCATTAGCACCTAGGAGCACAGCTATATTCTCAATGGATTTTAACAGCTTCTTCTTTTTAATAACATTTCAAAATAAAGCCATGTCTGTGACTTTATTCATGTCATGTGCTGTATGTAATAATGTCTATTAGAATTCTTTGAAAATAATTGAAAAAGGAGACATTTGGTGTTATAGAACTCAATTTGAAAAGAATCTTTGATAAGATGTCTCACAAAAGAATTATAACCAAAAGACAAGATTATTACTTGGTGACTTTGCTGAAGATCAAAAACCATTTATCTGGACAGCAGTCAAGACAAAATACCTACGGTGTTGAAAATACCTACTGAAAATGACTGTTAATAATAACAAGTAGATTGCAAATTTTCCAAAAATATAAAAACTTCACATGATTTGTGCAGTCAATTGATGAATAAAATTTTTAATAATGCACATGTTGTAGGGAGGGAGACTTAAGAAACTCCGTTGAAAGTCACAGCTGCAAGAACTTCTAACTACACTTGTAACAGTTGATTTACCGAATGGGATATGCACATATCACACTCTAGAGTTCTAAATGTTGAAGGAAAGAATCCAAACGTTGGGACAACAGATAATGTTTATGGGCAGGAAATACAAATCCTATATTAATTTTGTAATTTATGCATATGCTGGCCTCCATTAGTACCAGGAAATTACCAAACAATTTAGACCACCACCTCATCACCAACCGCAAGTCCTGGAAGCCCACAGAAGGGGTCAACTATCACACATTATTGCAGAGGAAGAGATGAATACCCGTCTGCAACTATATGCAACAATCTTTCCATTGAACACATGGATTCAAAACTGCTGCAGATATATACATTGATTAGCATCCACATACCCTTTCCAGTTGAATCAGACTATAAAATGTCTTTATGCAGTAGAATGAATATTAATCTCAATTTCACTTCCCTGCTCTCTCAAAAATATATTCAGTTTTAAAACTGGTGAGAGATTAAAGTTTATACCCATTGTTAAAGGAAAAAACATTTAGTAAATTGATTGATAGAGGCTGAATGGGATACATCCAATGACTCTTAAGAACGTTTGCTGAATAGCATAATGATCCCTGTTATTGAGTAATTGCACACAGGACCGATTAGAATAAGATTTTATAAGAGGTATCTTAAGAATCATATTTGGATAACAAGGTACCTGCTTCTCATCTTGCTGATCCAGTTCTCCTTTACTTGTATCTGAACTGGCATCTTCTTCATCGGAGCTAAAAATGACTTCTTCATCTGAGTTGATGTCCATTTCTAAAGAATGGTTATCCTGATTCTGTACAGGGCTACAAAGAAGTTAATCAGAACAGATGGAGTCTTACTCTTTCAGTTTATATTGAATATTAAGATTCAAACCTCTTTTTTTTGGAAAGAGTAGTGCTTATTTTGAACTAAGAAGAGTTTTATGAATGAAAATTTTACCCCTTCCAGTCAAATGGAGTAGAAGAGAAAAGCAATGCAATCTTACTATGTCCTTTAATAACTTCAAGAAGACCTGCTACTGTATTTTACTGTGATTTTCTCCCCCTTCACTTTGCACTGCAGTCACCTTAATGCATTTATACTGAAAATATACAAACAGTTTGCGCTGTGATATATTTGAACTCATCTATTTTCAATCCATGCTTCCTTGTATAAATTGTCAATCACCTAATTTGAGTACTGTTAATATGCAGGTAAGCATCATCCTTATCTGACACAATCTAGGCGAGCAACAGTGCTTGGGTCAGCATTGTAGGTCTGCCGTTCTTAGGTTGGGGGCTGAGCACAGGTGACTGGTAAATTCTCGACTCTGGCAAAGACCCAGTCCCAAAGCAACTGGTCAGTTATGTATTAACTATGAGTTGAAATGCTGGCCTTGGCAAAGATCCTATTCCTGGAAATAATTGAAGTGTGAGCTATAGAATACCCTACTGGAACCACTTATAAATGATTGCAGTCAGGTTACATGTGGTCCAAAGATTGTCATAGGAGATGGTTAGACTCTCTCTTGCTGGATATGGTCAAAAATCACATGTCACCAAGTTATAGTCCAACAGGTTTATTTGAAGACACAAGTTTTTGGAGTATCATTCCTTTTTCAGGTGTCTGTTATAGAGAAGTGACATTGGACATAGAATTTATAAGCAAAAGATCAAATAGTCATGAACTGATGCGGTGTTGAACAAACATAAGATGAATATTAAATCTCTAATCAGTTAGAAAGGATTAATGTGTAAATTCCCAAATTTCTTTCAAGTCACTGCCCCAATATAACTAAAGGTTTTATAAGTTTCCTCAGAATACCAGAGATGACACCCAGGTCAGACAATGCATTTTAGGTATGAGGCCTTGTTTAGAATCACACAGGGATCTCGTGTAAGAACCTCTCTGGCTATGTCAAGGGCATCCTGAAACCCATCATACAGGGAATCCCCAGCTTCTAGCACGACACCACAGATTTCTTACAGAAACCCAGCACCCACAGACCAATCAAACCAGGAACATTCCTCGTCACAATGGGCGTTTTAGCAGTCTACAACAGCATCCCCCATCAGTACTCAATACCAACCACTGCCAATTTCCAGATGCCATTCTGCAACTCATCCGCTTCATTCTCAACCAGAGTCTTCGCCTTTGACAACGAGTTATTCATCCAGACACATGGAAGAGCCATGGGAACCAGATTTGTACCCCAATATGCCAACATGTTCATGCATAAGTTCGAACAAGACTTCTTTGCTGTGCAGGACCTCCGACCAACGCTATACACCAGATACACTGACGACTTTTTCATCCTTTGGACTTATGGCAAGGAATCACTGAAACAACCTCATTGTGATATCAACAAGTTTCATCCCACCATCAGACTTACCATGGACTACTCTTTAGAATCATTCTCATTCTTGGACACAGGCATCTCCATCAAGGACGGACACCTCAACAGTTCGCCCTAACACAAGTCTATGCACAACCTCACGATGCTTCACTTCTCTAGCTTCCACCCTAAACATATTGAAGAAGCCATCCCCTACGGACATGCCCTACGCATACACAGGATCTGTTCAGATGAGGAGGAACGTGACAGACACCTGAAGGATGCCCTCATAAGAACGGGATATGGTGTTCAACTCATCGATTGCCAGTTCTGACATGCCACAACGAAAAACCGTAATGACCTACTCAGAAGACAGACACGGGAATACGACTGATAGGGTACCCTTTGTCATCCAGTACTTCCTGGGAGCACAGAAACAATGCTATGTTCTTCACAGCCTTCAACACATCGTCGATGACAATGAACATCTTGCCAAGATCTTCCCTACACCTCCATTTCTTGCCTTCAAACAACCACCAAACCTTAAACAGATCATAGTTCGCAGCGCACTACCCAGCCTTCAGGACAACATTAACCACAACACCATACAACACGTCAGATCATTGACATGGATACTACCATTATACATGCGAACACCACCCACCACGTGCACAATGTTATCTATCTCATACACTGCAGGCAAGGATGTCCCAAGGCATGACACTATGACAACGGATGAATGGACACCACGCAGACAATCACCAGACAATGATGCTCCCTCCCAGTGGGGGAACACTTCAGTGGTCAAGGACATTCTTCTTCAGGTGTCAGTTATAGAGAGGTGACATTAGACACAGAATTTATAAGCAAAAGATCAAAGGGTCATAGAACTGATGTGGTGTTGAACAAAACTAAGATGGCTGTTAAATCTTTAATCATTTAGAAAGGATTAATATGCAAATTCCTGAATTTCTTTCAAGTCACTGCCTCGGATCTTCAGGTAAACGTCCTCCAAGGTGGACTTCGGGATACACAAAAATGCACACTCGCCGAGCAGAGGCTGATAGCCAAGTTCAGTGCCCATGAGGATGGCCTCAAACGGGATCTTGGGTCCATGTCGCACCACACTGTACACTCTCATACACGGACACATACAAATACTCATATGCACATATTCACACACTCACACAGACCCTCTCTCATACCCACATTCTCTCTCTCACACGCACGCACACATGCACGCTCACACACCTATGGGGTGAATTAAATTCCTGCTTTGGAAATAAAACTAGTCTGATTCCAAGTTAATACATAGCCAGATTCTAAACAAAGCCTTACACCTAAAATGCATTTTCTGACCTGGGAAGTCACCTCTGGTATACTGAGGGAACTGATAAAACCTTTAGTATCTCAGGGCAGTGCCCTGAAAGAAATTTGGGAATTTGCATATTAATAATTTCTAAGTGATTAAAGATTTAACAGCCATCTTAGGTTTGTTCAACACCACTTCAGACTATGACCCTTTGATCTTTTGCTTACAAATTGTGTCCAATGTCACCTCTCACTGACACCTGAAGAAGGAATGAGACTCCGAAAGCTTGTGTCTTCAAATAAACCTGTCGGACTGTATCCTGGTGTTGTGTGATTTTTGACCTTGTCCACCCCAGTCCACACTGGCACCTCCACATCATTGTTGGATATGATTATTGCCAGGTATTTGAGTGGCACAAATGTGGCTCAGGTCCTGCTGCATTTAGACATGCATTGTTTCAGTAACTAAGGAGTTGGGAATGGTGCTAAACATGCAATTATCAATGAAAATCCCTACTTCTTACCTTATGATGGAAGATGGTCATTGCTGAAAGAACAGGTTGGACCAAGGACACTGCCCAGAGGACTTCCCACAGGGCCACTTCCGGAATGAGACAACTGGGCTCCATCAACCACAAATATTCTATTGTACTAGCTATTACTAGTGGTGAGCCCTCTTTCCCAATTGTGGCTCACTTCAAATTTGCCAGAATCTGTTGTTGCCACATTTGGTGAAATGGTAATGGATTGGTCAAGGCAGTCAATTCTCATCTTGCACTGAGTTCAACTCTTTTAGACTAAGGTTGCAATAAGGTTAGGAACTGATTCACTCTGGCTGAACCCATAAGCATCAGTGAGTAGGCTGCTGCAGAAAATGCTCTCTGTAGCATCATTGTGTTAATGATCAAAAGTATAGATGGGATGGTAACTGGATTTGTCTTGAGTTTTGTTGACTTAACATACTTGGATAATTTTCCACATTGCTAGCAATATAAATTTGCAGCTATGCTGGTACAGCTTATCTAGGGGCAGGGCGAGTTCTGGAACTCAAGTTTTCACTAATATTACTACAACATTCAAACATGGACAAAAGAGCTGAATTCCAGAGGTAACGGGAGCGTAACAGCCCTTGACACCAAAGCTACTTTCAACCGAGCGCAGTATCAAGGAGCCTGAGCAAAACTGAAGTCAATGCTTATCAGGGGCAAACTCTCCAGTGTTTAGACTCATACCTGACACACAGGAAAATGGTCATGTTGTTGGAGGTCAGTCATCTCAGCTCCAGGACATCTTTGCAGGAGTTCCTCAGGGTAGTGACCAAGGCCCAAACATCTTCAGCTGCTTCATCAATGACCTTCCCTCCATCATAAGGTCAGAAGTGGGCATGTTCACAGACGATTGCACCATTCGCGATTCAGTCACTGAAGCAGTTCTCGTCCAAATGCAACAAGATCTGGACAATATCCAGGCTTGGGCTGACAAGTGGCAAGTAACATTCGTGTCACACAAATGCCAGGCTATGACCATCACATATAAGAGACAATCTAACCACCGCCTCTTGACATTCAATGGTGTTACCAGCACCGCATGCCCCACTATCAATATCCTGGGGGTTATCATTGATCAGAAACTCAACTGGACTCACCACATAAACACAGTGGCTACAAAAGCAGGTCAAAAGGTAGGAATACTGTGGCGAGAAATTCGTCTCCTAATTCCCCAAACCCTGTCCACTGTCTATAGGGCACAAATCAGGAGTGTGATGGAACACTTCCCTAGATGAGTGCAGCTCCAACAACACTCAAGAAGCTTGACACCATCCAGGACAAAGCAGTCCATTTGATTGGCACTACATCCACTCCCTCCACCACCGATGCTCAGTAGCAGCAGTGTGTACTATCTAAAAGATGCACTGCAGAAATTCACCAAAGATCCTCAGACAGCAACTTCCAAACCCGCGAACACTTCCATCTAGAAGGACAAGGGCAGAAGATATAATGGGAACACCATCACCTGCAAGATCCCCTCCAAGACACTCACCATCCTGACTTGGAAATATATCGCCTTTCCTTCACTGTCGCTGTGTCAAAATCCTGGAATTCCCTCCCTAATGGCATTATGGGTCAACCCACAGCATGCAGACTGCAGCAGTTCAAGAAGGTGCTCTCACCACGAACT